ATTACTTATGTGACTCTCTGAGAACTTCTTCCACATAATATTACTTCAGGTAACCACAACAGAAAGATCGTAAGGAATCTGTATATGCACATTTTAGTCTCCTGTGCTATACCTGTATTGCCATTGTAATAGATGAAGAAATTATAAGACATTGAGAACAGAAATCATACTTGAAGAATTGTATGTACAATACTAGATTTACTAAGGAAATATTAAAATTGCTATGTTAATAAAAAATGGTACATACACCTAAGGTAGAGAGAAAGGGAGAGTTTGATGCCAAATACCAATTACTCCACTATTGTTGAGTGGTACTCTACATTACCTGTGTAGCACAACCAATAGATGCACTAGATCCATCCTCATTAAAAAATTAGTATTGAAGATCAGCATTGTTTCTGTAACCATTGATCAGTTGTTGGCTATTGGTCTTTTAACTGGTAATTACACAGGTAAAACAAAAAATTCTAGATTTGAAATATATTTTTGCTTTCTTACCATATGCTACAGGGAAAGAAAATGTGCTACCTATTGTCAGTAGTTGATGCTCTGGAAGTTCATAAACCCTTGGTAGAATGACTACATCATTATAATAATCTCTCTTGATATAGCTTGCAGGCTGAAAGAATTATTCTTCTTTCAACAAACCAGCCGTATCCCACTGAGGCAGAGTAGCCCAAAAAGTTTCTCATCATAACTTTAGTGATGTATAAAGGAGAGGGGATTACTAGCCCCTTGCTCCCGGCATTTTAATCACCTCTTACGACATGCATGGCTTACAGATGAAGAATTCAGTTCCACTTCTACCATGGAGAAAGAATTATAAACAGTTAGTTTTAGAATGGAAAATTCTAATTATTATTATTTTCATGGAAGGCTTCAAATCTGTAAGGTTACAAATGTTAAGGAAAATATTTGCCAGAAGAATAAGTAGACTGTACTGTTCAGTGGTGAAATATGGAGAAAAGCATTGTTCCGAAGTCTGAAACAATGCTAGTGGTGATTGCAAAGTGAAGCCATGGATTGGAAAGCCTTGGCGACTCCTCAGCTGACGGTAGTGAAGCAGGATCTGTCTCTCTGTCTGTCTGTCTCTGTCTCTCTCTCTGTCTGTCTCTCTCTCCCTGTGTCTCTCTTTCTCCCTGTCTGTCTGTCTGTCTCTGTTCTCTGTCTCTCCTGTCTCTCTCTCTGTCTCTCTCTGTCTCTGTCTGTCTCTCTCTCTGTCTCTGTCTCTGTCTCTGTCTCTGTCTCTCTCTCTCTCTCTCTCTGTCTCTCTCTCTCTCTCTCTGTCTCTCTCTTTTCTGTCTCTCTCTGTCTCTCTCTCTTTTGTCTCTCTCTTCCTCTCTCTCTCTCTCCTCTCTGTCTCTCTCTGTCTCTCTCTCTCTTCTTCTCTCGTCTCTCTCTCTGTCTCTCTCTCTTCTTCTTCTCTTTTCTCTTCTCTCCTCTCCTCTCTCTCCCCGTCTCTCTCCTCTCTCTGTCTCTCTCTCTCTCTCTGTCTCTCTCTTCCTCTCTCTCTCTCTCTTCTCTCTGTCTCCTTTTCCCCTCTCTTCCTGTCTCTCTCTCTCCCTGTTCTCTCTTTCTCCCCCTTCTGTCTCTTCTCTGTCTCTCTGTCTCTCTGTCTCTTCTCTCTCTCTTCTCTGTCTTCTCTCTTCCCCTGTCTCTCTCTTCTCTTTTCCTTTTTCTCTTCCTCTGTCTCTTCTCTCTCTCTTCTCTCTCTCTCTCTCCTCTCTCTCTCCTCTTCTCTCTCTCTCTCTCTCTCGCCTCTCTCTCTCTCTCTCAGTCTCTCTCTCTCTTTTCCCCTCTTCTCTCTCTGTCTCTCTCTGTCTCTCTCTTCGTCTCTCTCTGTCTCTCTCTCTCTCTCTCTCTCTTCTCTCTCTCTCCTCTCTCTCCTTCTCCCTCTCTCTCTCTTCTCTCTCTCTGTCTCTCTCTCTCTCTGTTTTCTCTCTCTCTCCCGTCTCTCTCTCTGTCCCTTTTCTCCTCTCTTCTCTCCTCTCCTCTCTCTCTCTGTCTCTCCTCCTCTGCTCTCTCTCTTCTGTCTCTCTCTCCTTCTCTCTGTCTCTCTCTCTCTTTCTCCTCTCTCTCTCTCTTTTCTCTCTCCTGTCCTTCCTCTCTCTCTCTCTCTCTCTCTCTTTCTCTCTCTCTCTCTCTCTTCTCTGTCTCTCTCTCTCTCTCTCTGTCTCTCTCTCTCTCTCTCTCTCTCTGTCTCCTCTCTCTCTGTCTCTCTCTCTGTCTCTCTCTCTCTTCTCTCTCTCTCTCTGTCTCTCTCTGTCTCTCTCTCTCTCTGTCTCTCTCTCTCTCTGTCTCTCTCTTCCTCTGTCTCTCTCTCTCTCTCTGTCTCTCTCTCTCTCTGTCTCTCTCTCTCTCTGTCTCTCTCTCTCTTCTCTCTCTTCCTCTGTCTCTCTCTCTGTCTCTCTCTCTTCTCTCTCTCTCTGTCTCTGTCCTCTGTCTCTGTCTCTCGTCTCTCTGTCTCTCTCTCTGTCTCTCTCTCTGCCTCTCTCTCTCTCTCTCTCTCTCTCTCTCTCTCTCTCTCTCTCTCACACACACACACACACACACACACACAACCAACCAACCAACCAACCAACCAGAGAAAACACCTCCAGAAGATCCCACAGGCAGAGGAAAAATTGCTCCACGAGCGACTGGTAGGAAAATCTCCACCTGACTGTGACCATAAAGAGGTAATTACAAGGTTACAAGCCCTGTGTGTGTAGGCATTGAAAATGGTTGTCATGTTTGGGAAGCCATGAAGAACATAGGGTAAGCACAAGCATAAGTAATCACCTCCAAACCTTCCTGGTGGGGCAGATAGAGAGGTAGCAAGCAGAAAAATAATTCATGAGAGGTTCATATTGACAAGGCACATTTCGTGTAATAACTGGGAGCTGGTCAGGCATGTGCATCTCACTTGGCAGCTGCACACCACATCAATATTAGCATAATGACTGGTGGGCAGGGGGGGACAGCTTAACCCTTTCAGGGTCAACAGGCCCTCTCCCAGACTTGTTCTCAGGGTCGACAAATTTAAAAAAAAAAATTCTTGTGAAAAGATAGAGAATCTTTTCCCGTTCATAATGACACCAAAAGTATGAAATTTGATGGGAAGACTTACGGAATTATGCTCTCGCGAAGTTAGCTGTCTCGATGATGTTTACGCATCGGCAATTTTGCCCACTTTGAGCCTTATTTTCGGCCAATTCCAGTGTACTAGTCGACAGAAATCATAACTACAGTGGACCCCTGACATTTGATATTAATCCGTTCCTGAGAGCTCATCGAATGTCGAAAATATCGAAAGTCAAATTAATTTTCCCCATAAGAAATAATGGAAATCAAATTAATCTGTGCAAGACACCCAAAAGTATGAAAAAATTTTTTACCACATGAAATATTAAGTTTAATGCAATAGAATAATTACAATAACAATAGATTAATAACAATAGAATAATTGACACTTACCTTTAATGAAGATCTGGTGTTGATTGATGGGATGGGAGGAGGGGAGAGTGTGGATGGTGTTAGTGTTTAGAAAGGGAATCCCCTTCCATTAGGACTTGAACTGGCAGCCTCACCATGCCTTACCACACTGTGTATGCCACTACGATTCTTAAATCTCTCAAACCAACCTTTGCTGGCCTTAAATTCACTCACATCACTAGTTGCAGGCAATTTCTTTACCAAATCATCATGCACTCCGACACACACACACACACACACTCCACTTCCGTACTTTGCAATTATCTCTTTCTTCATTTCAATAGTCATTAGCACCTTTTTTCTTGAAGGGTTGGCACTAGAAGCTTTCTTTGGGCCCATGGTTACTTATTTTGCAGAAACAAGCACCAAAAACAGTGATAATATGGAATGTACCGAATGTATCCTTAGATGCACGCACACTGGCTGGCTTGTAAACACTGGCACACAAGGGGCAGTTCAGGCCACATGTGGACACGTCTCGCACGAATCGTATCGAATGTCGGGTTTTCCATCGAATGTCAAGGCGAAATTTTTGCATTAAAATGCATCGAATGTTGGATTTATCGAATGCCGATGCCATCGAATGTCGGTGGTCCACTGTATTTCGCTAGAACTCCATTTTTTCTATCGATAAGTACAAGAAACCACCCATTTACCTATTTCACCTATCCAATAAAGTGGTCAGAATTTAGCAATTTTGCCAATTTCACACAAATTTCAAAAGATGCCAATTTCCAAATAGGGTCCAGAATAAACAAGAAAGACATTCCTGGCACTAAAATAACATTTTCTCTGTTCATTAGTCACGTCCCCACACCCCTCTTACATTCTTTTGCTTTCAACTTTGAATTTTTATTCTCAGAAAAAATAGAAGATTTACTGTTATGCAGACTACTGTATTAGTGTAGAAATGGTATAAATAATATCAGCGCACTTGTGAAAGAATATTGGACTCACCAGTTGATGTGTATTGGACGCTTGGCATGATTTGTTTACTTTTGAACTTTGGCAAAAATTGAAGATATCTGTTACTTTGAGCTCAATTTCAGGTTCTTTTCATTGTAAAACCAATCAAAATCATCTCAATTTCTGTAATATGTCTTCCATTCTATAAAATGAGACCAGAAAAACTTGAATACCATCATAAATACCATACGAAAATACAGTGCAAAGTCGCTGTTTTAAGCCTAAAACACTGTCCAAGTTCTTTTTTTTTCTTATTACGCACTGTGTGCTGCAGGATTTTTTTTATACCGTGCACACTGACCACATAGACCCATTCTTTCATATGTAGGCCTACCAGCTTTCTCTCACTAGATTTGAGGGCGCTGGAATTTAGGCGTACTAGTACGTCAAAAACCCTGGTGCGTAAGCCGTACTAGTACGTCAGAAACCCTGAAAGGGTTAATAAGCCAGTTGAGAGAAGTATTTATTATGAATACGAGTGATATATTTTCATTGTGGGCCTCACCATGGTCCCACACAGATATTATTTTTTACATATTAATTATATTTGTTTTGTACAGAGATGCTGTAGCAGAAAAATTACGGGCAGCTAGTCAGTTTCAAACTGCCAGTGAGCATAACAATCTTATTTCCTCTATGGTACGAGAAAGAGAGCTCAGAACAAGAATAAGAGAGTTACTAAGGTTAGTATCTCTTGGAACTGTTAAAAGCATCTATTGCTGATTTTCTCTAATTTGTGTCATAACTTGCTGTGGAAGTCCTACATTTAAAGTTTACAAACATTTACAGTATTAGTAAATTCTACATCTTAGATTAACATGTGAATTATAATGAAAAAGATTTGTGTAATATTATACAGTAAAAAAAAAAAAATGCTTGTGCTTGGTTAAGACAAAGCATTACTGGATAAGGCTTTAATTGTTCTAATGATTCTACTTTCTTTGCTTTTACCTAATGTAAATAGATTATCTATTTTTTGCTTTACTCACTATTTTACTTTTTACATTGTAGTTACCCCATTTACTTATATTTTTAATTATAGGCAATTGTAGTACAGGTGTCCCCTCACTTTGTGTGGGTTTGCAAATTCATTTTTATGTGATGACCAGTCATGTCATTAAAATAAATTTCCAAGAGTATTAGGAATTCTTTGATGTAATATACACCCAGTAATGCCAAAGTAACAACTGAAGTAAGGAACTCAATGTTGGAGAAGCTGGCAAATCAAAACCAGAGGAAAATGAATTTTAGCTATGCTACAATCATGGTGAAGAACCTGAAAATTTATTACTGTCTGCTTCAAGATGAAAATGGCCATCAGGATCATCAAAATTTGCAAAATTAACATGACTTGAAAATTTGCAAATGCTGATAATGCTGCTGCAGCAAAGTTTCCAGAAAACCTGAAATCCATGATAGCAGTTTCAATGCTGACAAGCAAAATGTTGCAGATGGGTTCAAAGCAATGGAGAATAGGCTGAGTGTCTTACTGTCTAGTAATGCTACAGATTTAAAGTATTAGCCTCTATTAGGCTACCATTCCCTCAACCCATTTACATTGAATGGACTGAGTAAGAATATGATACTATTCAGTTGACTGCAAACATGAATGAATTGGATGACAGGACAAATTTTTGGGGCTTGGTTCATGCCACATTTCATGGTGGAAGCTGGGTGCCATTAGGGAGTCTAACCTAGCATTTAAGGTGCTGTTCCTTGACAGTTCCTCAGGACATCCTAAACACCTTGAGCATATCACCCCCACACATCCAGCTTCTTGATCAGTGGGTATTTTAATATTGAGTGCCTACTACCTAAATTAGAATATCTTCCAGTTACTGGATGATACTGATGAAACTGTGAAGTCAGTAATGAGTGAATAGTGGAATTTCTGCAATGTGAATAATGCCATTAACATTAGGGCTTCATGGGATGATGTGTCTACCTTGAATGGTGCCTCAGTCTCTTTGGCAAGACTGCATTATTACCTAAAAGTGCTTCCCTAAATTGTCTATGACTGTGCAAGAGGTTGTCAAGTTGCAATGTAATGTGGGAGAAGATATTGCAGACATTGAGGAGGAAACCTTCCCAAACCATACCCCGGCCGGGATTGAACCCGCAGTCAGAGAGTCTCAAAACTCCAGCCCGTCGCGTTAGCCACTAGACCAGCTAGCCACAATAAGATTCGTCCAACTAGGTATATTTCTACACCATAGTATGACTCACGAAATCGTAATGACACGATTTCGTGAGTCATGTTGACGGCAGTGAAGGGACTTGAGCTAGAGTTCGTCACGGCCACGCTAGCTGGAGATTCGTCTGTAAAAAACTTGCATTTGTGGTCACAGTGGTGCCTGTGCTAACCTTCCTATGGTGTAGAAATATACCTAGTTGGACGAATCTTATTGTGACTAGCTGGTCTAGTGGCTAACGCGACGGGCTGGAGTTTTGAGACTCTGACCGCGGGTTCAATCCCGGCCGGGGTATGGTTTGTTTGCAATCGTGTCATTACGATTTCGTGAGTCATGAGGAAACCTTTATGGAACTAATGGTTTCTGTATTAAAAACTTAAGTGTAGATAATCTGATTAAGAGTAAAACATCTGCTTATCAACAAGAGGAGAATGAAGTGGTTCATGATGTATCAAGAAGCTGGCAAAATTGTACAAGCTGAAAGACTTGTTTCTACATGGACATTTACCCTCGGCTGAAGAGGAGCCTGAATTTCAAGCACCATATAAACAATGACCTAAGTGCCAACAAGGTAGTTTATATCCCGAAGCAGTGACTTGGTAAGCAGACCTCCTTTTTGCAGCCCAACTCCAATTGTACCTATTCCCACTGGTGATGTCTGATGAAAACTGCTGCTTGCTGTTACTGCATTCTCTTGATGTCATCCTGCTTATTGCCAGTAATGTGGAGTTTGACCTAGGTGATTCTTCATTACTTTCACATTCCATCTACACCTTCACCACTCTGCCTAGTCCACCTGCTACGTACACCAACTACACCTTCATGAGCACTCCACCACCAAGTCCAGCTGTGATTGTTTGCTGCTGCTGGTGAGTACTAATACCAGTACAGTGCTTCAGGACATATCCCCATATTTTACATGTTAAATTGGGCTTGTGTTATGAAATATGCACCATGGGCCTTGACCACATATATTGAATGAAGTGAGGGGGGACACCTGTACAGATGTTGTAGCTAATGTAGGTAGATATGCAATATACATGTAATTGAGAGTAGTGGGAATGAATTGATATGGAGCAGTTGCTGAAACAATAATAGTTGTATTGCATAAAAATGCAGTGAAAGACAAATTGCTGACAAATACAGTAAAGACACTTGGCTGAATGTTTCTCCACTGTCATCTCATCTGTGTTACCTGACTATCTCATGTGGACAATATCCTTGTACAGACATGCAGACACTTCAACTTTCAGTATTTCCAGATTAGAGTGAGCTTAGTTTGACTTGCCTTACAGTTTACCCCTTGGAAAAAATGGGGAAAATTCCTCTCCTTTCTAGATGCCAAGTTGATCAAGCAGGTAAAACACCTCAAAGTCATTATTAAGTCTGTCAGAAGATAACAAATAAGGGAACCTTTTATACTATATTCATACCATGATATATATCAAGTGATTATTAGTTTTTTCCTAAGAGCATATAGGATATGAAGTAGTAACTATTTCAGAGAAGAATGTTGCAACATAAGCAAAAGTTTCTTTTCATTAAGATTCATTAAAGAATGCACACAGAAGGATTTACAAATATTTGTCAACCCAGGGTCATGCAGTGAAACCAACAAATGAATCATTCTGCCAATAGGTCACATTGCCACTCATTTTACATAGGCACTTAGCAAAAACAGCACTAGCTCAAGAAAACAACTGCTGTGACATCAGAGTCACTTGTAAGATTTGACAGATGTTACTTGTGTGAAGTCTAACATGATGTCAACATGAGAATTACAGTAACAAGTATGGTTGTAGAACCCAGCAATGCATCACATATAATTATGAATTTCCACACCTCATTTTGTGGATCAACACTAGGCTGATCCAGAAAATTATGGGCCAACACCTAAATTAATGATGTCGTTTCCCTCTGTCACAACTGCACTGCACTTCCACATCTTCCTTGCTGTGATGGAGTACAGTTCTAGCTGGGAGTTCTTCCCGAAGCTCACACCTGAGTGAAATGCTGTCCAATGAAGTCCCACCTTGTTAAGCATTCAAATATGGGGAGTTTTGAACGAAGTGAAAGAGTACTTGTGGTTGGGGATCTTAATGCTAAAGTGGGTAAAAATGTTGTGGAGGGAGTAGTAGGTAAATTTGGGGTACTAGGGGTAACTGAAAATGGGAAACCTTCAATTGAACTATGTGTAGAAAGAGGTTTGGTAATAAGTAATACATATTTTATGAAAAAGAGGATAAATAAGTATACAGGGTATGATATAGCACATAATGAAAGTGGTTTGTTAGATTATGTATTGGTGGATAAAAGGTTGATGGGTAGGCTTGAGGATGTACACGTTTATAGAGGGGCAACTGATATATCGGATCATTATTTAGTTGTAGCTACAGTTAGAGTAAGAGGTAGATGGGATAAAAGGAAAATGGCAACAGCAAGTAAGAGAGAGGTGAAAGTGTGTAAACTAAGGGAGGAGGAAGTTAGGGTGAGATACAAGCAACTATTGGCAGAAAGGTGGTCTAGTGCAAGTATGGGTAGTCGGGGGGTTGAAGAGGGATGGGATAGTTTCAAAAATGCAGTATTAGAATGTGGGGCAGAAGTTTGTGATTATAGGAGGGTTGGTGCAGGAGGAAAGAGGAGTGATTGGTGAAATGATGAAGTAGAAGGTGTGATAATAGAGAAAAAGGTAGCTTATGAGAGGCTTTTACAAAGCAGAAGTGATACAAGAAGGGAAGAGTATATGGAGAGTAAAAGAAAGGTGAAGAGAGTGGTGAAAGAGTGCAAAAACAGAGCAAATGATAGAATGGGAGAGGCATTGTCAAGTACGTAATTTTGCTGAAAATAAGGAAAATTTTGGAGTAAGATCAACAAGTTAAGAAAGCCTAGGGAACGCACGGATTTATTAGTTAAAAACAGAATAGAGGAGTTTGTCAGTGGAGAACTGGAGGTATTGGGTAGACGGCAGGAATATTTTGAGGAACATTTAAATTTCAACGAAAAAAGAGGGGCAGTAATTTCATGCACTGACCAAGGAGGTAAGACATCTTTTAGGAGTGAAGAAGAGCAGGATGTGAGTGTAGGGGAGGTGCTTGAGGCATTACGTAGAATGAAAGTGGGTAAAATAGCTGGAACTGATGAGATCATGACAAAAATGTTAAAAGCAGGGGGAGATATAGTGTTAGGAGTGGTTGGTGTTTTCCTTTAATAAATGTATGAAAGAGGGGAAGGTACTTAGGGATTGGCAGAGAGTGTGCATAGTTCCTTTATGTAAAGGGAAGGGGGACAAAAGAGATTGTAAAATTTATAAGGGAATAAGTTTACTGAGTATACCAGGTAAAGTGCACAGTAGTGTTGTTATTGAAAGAATTAGAGGTAAGACAGAGGGTAGGATTGCAGATGAGGAAGGAGGCTTTAGAGTGGGTAGGGGATATGTAGATCGTGTTTACATAGAAACATATATGTGAACAGTATTTAGATAAAGGTATGGAAGTTTTTATTGCATATATGGATTTAGAAAAGGCATATGATAGAGAGGATAGGGGAGCAATGTGGCAGATATTGCAAGTATATGGAATAGGTGGTAAGTTACTAAATGCTGTAAAGAGTTTTTATGAGGATAGTGAGGCTCAGGTTAGGGTGTGTAGAAGAGAGGGAGACTACTTCCCGGTAAAAGTAGGTCTTAGACAGGGATGTGTAATGTCGCCATGGTTGTTTAATATATTTATAGATGGGGTTGTAAAAGAAGTAAATGCTAGGTTGTTCGGGAGAGGGGTGGGATTAAATTATGGGGAATCAAATACAAAATGGGAATTGACACAGTTGCTTTTTGCTGATGATACTGTGCTTATGGGAGATTCTAAAGAAAAATTGCAAAGGTTAGTGGACGAGTTTGGGAGCATGTGTAAAGGTAGAAAGTTGAAAGTGAACATAGAAAAGAGTAAGGTGATGAGGGTATCAAATGATTTAGATAAAGAAAAATTGGATATCAAATTGGGGAGGAGGAATATGGAAGAAGTGAATGTTTTCAGATACTTGGGAGTTGACGTGTCGGCGGATGGATTTATGAAGGATGGGGTTAATCATAGAATTGATGAGGGAAAAAAGGTGAGTGGTGCATTGAGGTATATGTGGAGACAAAGAACATTATCTATGGAGGCAAAGAAGGGAATGTATGAAAGTATAGTAGTACCAACACTCTTATATGGGTGTGAAGCTTAGGTTGTGAATGCAGCAGCGAGGAGGCAGTGGAGATGTCCTGTCTAAGGACAATGTGTGGTGTAAATATTATGCAGAAAATTTGGAGTGTGGAAATTAGGAGAAGGTGTGAAGTTAATAAAAGTACAGTGGACCCCCACATAGCGACCTTAATCCGTGCAAGAGGGGTGGCTGTTATGCGAAATGTTCGCTATGTGAATTAATTTTCCCCATAAGAAATAATGGAAATAAAATTAATCCGTGCAAGACACCCAAAAGTATGAAAAAAAATTTTTTTTACCACAAAAAAAATGTTAATTTTAGTACACACAAACTGAAAAAGGCATGCACAATTACATGACACTTACTTTTATTGAAGATCTGGTGATGATTGATGGGATGGGAGGAGGGGAGAGAGAGTGTTAGTGTTTAGAAGGGGAATCCCCTTCCATTAAGACTTGAGGAGGCAAGTCCTTTTCTGGGGTTACTTCCCTTCTTCTTTTAATGCCACTAGGACCAGCTTCAGAGTCACGGGGACTTCTTTCGCACAACATATCTGTCCATAGTGGCCCTGTACCTCTCGTTCCTTTATGATTTGTCTAAAGTGGTTCACAACACTGTCATTGTAACAGTCACCAGCACGGCTTGCAATAGCTGTGTGAGGGTGATTTTCATCAAAAAGGTTTGCACTTCAAGCCATTTTGCACACTTTTCCCTTTAAATTTCTTTGAAGTAGGCAATTCCTTCAATTTCTCTTTTCCCCTCCTTTGAACCAGTTTCCCCAGGTCTGGCCTCTTGCTCTTGAAGTTGATCTATCAGCTCATCAGTGGTTAGTTCTTCATTGTCCTCTCCACCAACTCTTCCACATCCTCCCCACTAACCTCCAACCCCAAGGACTTCCCCAATGCCACAATTGATTCCTCAACTGGTATACTCTCTCAGGGTTAGCCTCAAACCCTTCAAAATCCCTTTTGTCTACACATTCTGGCCACAGTTTCTTCCAAGCAGAGTTCAAGGTTCTCTTAGTCACTCCCTCCCAAGCCTTACCTATAAGGTTTACACAATTGAGGATATTAAAGTGATCCTTCCAAAACTCTTTTAGAGTCAATCGAGTGTCTGTGGTCACTTCAAAGCACTTTTGAAACAGAGCTTTTGTGTACAGTTTCTTGAAGTTGGAAATGACCTGCTGGTCCATGGGCTGCAGGAGAGGAGTGGTATTAGGAGGCAAAAACTTGACCTTAATGAAGCTCATGTCCCCATAAAGTCGCTCTGACAAGTCTGTAGGATGACCAGGGGCATTGTCTAATACCAGGAGGCACTTAAGGTCTAATTTCTTTTCAGTTAGGTAATTTTTCACAGTGGGGGCAAATGCATGGTGTAACCAGTTATAGAAAAATTCCCTAGTGACCCATGCCTTACTGTTTGCCCTCCACAGCACACAAATTATCCTTGAGGACATTCTTTTGCCTGAACGCTCTGGGAGTTTCAGAGTGATACACTAATAAAGGCTTAACTTTGCAATCACCACTAGCATTGGCACACATCAACAAAGTAAGCCTGTCTTTCATAGGCTTATGTCCTGGGAGTGCCTTTTCCTCCTGAGTAATGTAGGTCCTGCTTGGCATTTTCTTCCAGAACAGGCCTGTTTCATCACAATTAAACACTTGTTCAGGTTTCAGTCCTAAAGTTTCTATGTACTCCTTGAATTCATGCACATATTTTTCAGCCACTTTGTGGTCCAAACTGGCAGCCTCACCATGCCGTATCACACTATGTATGCCACTACGCTTTCTTAAATCTCTCAAAAACCAACCTTTGCTGGCCTTAAATTCACTCACATCATCACTAGTTGCAGGCATTTTTTTAATTAAATCCTCATGCAACTTCCTAGCCTTTTCACATATGATCGCTTGAGAGACGCTATCTCCTGCTAGCTGTTTTTCATTTATCCACACCAATAAGAGTCTCTCAACATCTTCCATCACTTGCGATCTTTGTTTCGAAAACACAGTTAAACCTTTGGCAACAACAGCTTCCTTGATTGCCGTTTTCTTGCCCACAATAGAGAGATGGTTGATTTGGGTTTCTTGTACAACCTGACCGGTCGGTGATACGCACTCCACTTTCATACTTATCAATGATCTCTTTCTTCATTTCAATGGGAATTCTAACCCTTATTGCTGTAGGGTTGGAACTAGAAGCTTTCTTGGGGCCCATGGTCACTTATTTTCCAGAAACAGCACCGAAAACACTGTAATAATACGAAATGTTCCGATTGTATGCTTGAATGTTACCGCGGAGGCTGGCTGGTAAACAATGGCACAGGCGGCACATGTGAGGCTGGCTGAGGGCGCACATTGGACGCGTCTCGGACGAAGGCCGCTGAGCGGGTTTTTGTCCACTATGCGGGGCAAAATTTTAGCAAACAAAGCGTCCGCTATGCGGATTGTCCGCTATGCAAGGCGTCCGTTATGCGGGGGTCCACTGTATTAGTCAGAGGGCTGAAGAGGGGTTGTTGAGGTTGTTTGGTCATTTAGAGAGAATGGATCAAAGTAGAATGACATGGAGAACATTTAAATCTGTAGGGGAAGGAAGGCGGGGTAGGGGTCGTCCTCGAAAAGGTTGGAAGGAAGGGGTAAGGGAGATTTTGTGGGCGAGGGGCTTGGACTTCCAGCAGGTGTGCGTGAGCATGTTCGATAGGAGTGAATGGAGACGAATGGTATTTGGGACCTGACGATCTGTTGGAGTGTGGGGAGGGTAATATTTAGTGAAGGGATTCAGGGAAACCGGTTATTTTTATATAGCCGGACTTGAGTCCTGGAAATGGGAAGTACAATGCCTGCACTTTAAAGGAGGGGTTCGGGATATTGACAGTTTGGAGGGATATGTTGTGTATCTTTATACGTATATGCTTCTAAGCTGTTGTGTTCTGAGCACCTCTGCAAAAACAGTGATTATGTGTGAGTGAGGTGAAAGAGTTGAATGATGATGAAAGTATTTCCTTTTTGGGGATTTTCTTTCTTTTTGGGTCACCCTGCCTTGGTGGGAGACGGCCGACTTGTTAAAAAAAAAAAAAAAGTGCACTGCATTTTTTAATTTTTATGAAGAACTTTTTATGTAATTACCGATGCTAATATGTGTAATGTTTCTCAGGTATCGGCGAAATGGCATTAGACATGTAGAAGAGTGTCACGAATTTGAGGTAGCTAGATCACGACGAGATAAAAAGAAAGAAAATAAAAAGAAGTCAGTAAGTATAATCTTAAATCTGTTACTATGTACAGTACATGTATTTATATATATACTGTACTGTATATTGCTTAACATATATTTCTTTATTATACAGTATAGGAGTAGTTGTGATTCTATAGTATCATTACTTTGCTATCAGTGCAAGTTTTAAACAAGTGTCTTGTCTGTAAATCTCTGTAGAGTATTAGAATATGTGTTCATATACAACATAGTTCAATTGGTGCTACACTGTGTATGATTCCGAAACTTAATTTATATCTCTACCTCTTCTAAGCCTTGTTTCTATTTTGGGAACTCCCCTTCCATTAGGACTATCAAGTGCAGAATCATGCACTAAAAAGACTTGTAGAAACACCAAGTAATGAAATAACAACAGAGAGTATAAAGCAGCATTTATTGATGGGAACTGTCAAATGGGAGAATATGGAACTGACCATGAAGTAGCACTAAAGTGCAAAAATTGAGGAAAAAAAAAAAGTAGTTGTGGAAAAGAAATAATCATTACCTAGAAGGGGAGTAGGCAATGAATGGTTGTCTAGGGCAATTGGTGTAAATTGCTGGCTAGACAGATACTGCAAGGAACTTACAATCCCATTCACTGACAACTGGTACAACTTTTATGGCAAACATGATATGTATGCTAGGGATGGGATACATCTCTCTGGGGCAGGAGTGGTAGCACTTGCCAACTTGAGTGAGAGGGCCGTTGCTGACATGTTTAGGATTTTAAACTGATAGAAGATAGAGGTATGGGTTTGTGTGGTAAACAGTCAGGTTGCAACACTAGGAATGAAAACAGCCACCTCACTATCTTCCCACCCACCACCATCCTTCCCCTGCCATCCAGCTGCTTATGTAATAACACATCATAGATAACTCTACAGCTCTTGACCAATCTTTATCAAAAAAAAAAAAAAAAAGTGAGCTCTTTAAGTATATACAAAATGAGCATTCATAAAGGATGAATGCATTTGATAAAAAAAAACTAAGAAATAAAGTAATGGGGAAACTTCAAAGTCTCAGAACTAATCCCTATCTTTTATATGTTATAATAGAGTCACAGTATGCAATATCGCTTTATGCTTTGTCAGCTGCAGTATCTTTATTTCAACACACCGGCTGTATCCCACCAAAGCAGGGTGGCCTGAAAAGAAAAAGGAAAGTTTCTCTATAAATTTAGTAATGTATACAGGAGAAGGGGTTACTAGCCCCCTTTGCTCCTGGCATTTTAGTTACTTGGTATGACACGCATGGCTTATGGAGGAAGAATTCTGTTCTGCCTCCCCATGGAGATAAGAGGAAATAAACAAGAACAAGTAAGAAAAAAAGAAAACCCAGAGAGGTGTGTGTGTGTGTATATATGCTTGTACATGCAAGTGTAGTGTGACCTAAGTGTAAGTAGAAGTAGCAAGATGTACCTGAAATTGCATGTTTATGAGACAGAAAAAAGACACCAGCAATCCTAGAATTATGTAAAACAATTACAGGCTTTCATTTTACACTCACTTGGTAGGACGGTAATACTTCCCTGGGCAGTTGCTGTCTACCGACCTACTACCTAGGAGCTACAAATACAATGGACCCTCAACTTACGATATTAATCCGTTCCAGAGAGCTCATCGTTAGATGAAATTATCGTAAATTGAATTAATTTTCCCCATAAGTAATAATGGAAATCCAATTAATCCGTTCCAGACACCCAAAAGTATGAACATTTTTTTTTTTTACCACATGAAATATACATTTTCCTACACACAAAAGGAAGGATACATGCACAATATAGTATATTGTGCATGTACTGTACTAAATGAATAAATGACACCTTTATTGAAGATGTAGTGATGAGATGGGAGGAGGGGAGATGGAGGTTTATTATTTTTTGGAAGGGGATCCCTTCCATAAGGACTTTAGGTAGCAAGTCCTTTTCCGGGGTTACTTCCCTTCTTTGTTTTTTAATGCCACTGGGAACAACTTGAGAGTCACTGGACCTCTGTCACACCAAAATTCTGTCCATAGAGCTCTATACCTAGCGTTCCATTAAGATTTTCCTAAAGTGGGTCTCAACATTGTCATTGTAAAAGTCACCAACACGGCTTGAAATAGCTGTGTCAGGGTGATTTTCTTCCATAAAGGTTTGCACGTCAACCCACTTTGCACAAATTTCCTTAATTTTTGAAGAAGGCAACTTCCTCAATTTCTCTCTCCCTTCCTCTGAAGCAATTTCCTCAGTTGTGGCCCCTTGCTGTTGCAGATGCTCTTGCAGCTCATCAGTCTTTAGTTCTTCATTGTCGTCCTCCACCAACTCTTTTGCATCCTCCCCACTAACCTCCAACCCCAAGGACTTCCCCAGTGCCACAATAGATTCCACAACTGGCATAGGCTCCTCAGGGTTAGCCCCAAACCCTTCAAATCCATCTCTTGTACACATTGTGGCCACAGTTTCAGAGTGATACATGACTAGAGGCTTCACTGTAACCCCCACTAGCATTACTACACAACATTAAAGTAACCCTGTCCTTCATAGGCTTGTGTCCTGGGATTGCTTTTTCCTCCTGTGTAATGTAGGTCATGTTAGGCATTTTCTTCCACAATTAAACAATTGTTGAGGTTGCAATCCTTCAGCTGCTTTTTTGTTTGAACTGGCAGCCTCACCATGCCTTATCACACTGTGTATGCCAATACAATTCTTAAATCTCTCAAACCAACCATTGCTGGCCTTAAATTCACTCACATCACCACTAGTTGCAGGCATTTTTTAATTAAATTGTCATGTAACTGCCTTGCCTTTTCACATATGATCGCTTGAGAGATGCTATCTCCTGATATCTGTTTTTCGTTTATCCACACCTATAACAGTCTCTCAACATCGAGTACTTGCGATCTGTGTTTCGAAAAGATACTTGCACCTTTTTCAACAACAGCTTCCTTGATTGCCTTTTTGTTGGCCAAGATAGTAGCGATGGTTGCTTGGGGTTTGTTGTACAACCTGGCCAGCTCGGAGACACGTACTCCACTCTCATATTTTGTGATTCTCTTTTTCTTCATTTTGATTGTAATTTTCACCCTTTTTACCACAGGGTTGGCATTAGAAGCTTTCTTTGGTCCCATGGTGGCTTATTTAGCAGTTACAAGCACTAAAAACACTGGAATAATACAAAATGTACTGAATGTATGCGTGGAAGCAACCACACTGGCTTGTAAACATTGGCACACTAACTGAAGGCAGGGCAGCTGAGGCGCGCTTAGGCCAGAGGGACACATGGACACGTTTGGGACGAATGATGCAAGTTGAGTTTTTGTTCGTAGGGCGGGGGAAATTTTTTACGCTGAAATGCTTCGTAAGTCGATTTTATCGTTAGATGAGGCCTTCGTAGGTCGAGGGTCCACTGTATATCTATTGCATAAAGTGAGGAACACCTATACATAAAAGTGTGACAGGAAATGATGTGGACAAGTAATGATCTTCTGCCAGTAGTGAATGTTTTAATCTGTTGTTTCATAATGATTCTGGGGATCATTGCCCTATGGCCCACTCTCAGACCAGAACTCAAATTGGAAAGCAGATGTTAAAGGAATAAGAACTATTAAGAAACTTAGGAAAATAAAAGTAAATGGTTGCTGGCCACCCCGCCTCGGTGGGACACGGCCGGTGTGTTGAAAGAAAGAAAGTTTGCTGAACATAAATGAAATGACATGGAAAGCATATAAATCTATAGGGGAAGGAAGGCGGGGTAGGGGTCGTCCTCGAAAGGGTTGGAGAGAGGGGGTAAAGGAGGTTTTGTGGGTAAGGGGCTTGGACTTCCAGCAAGCGTGCGTGAGCGTGTTAGATAGGAGTGAATGGAGACGAATGGTACTTGGGACCTGACGATCTGTTGGAGTGTGAGCAGGGTAATATTTAGTGAAGGGATTCAGGGAAACCGGTTATTTTCATATAGTCGGACTTGAGTCCTGGAAATGGGAAGTACAATGCCTGCACTTTAAAGGAGGGGTTTGGGATATTGGCAGTTTGGAGGGATATGTTGTGTATCTTTATATGTGTATGCTTCTAGACTGTTGTATTCTGAGCACCTCTGCAAAAACAGTGATAATGTGCGAGTGTGGTGAAAGTGTTGAATGATGATGAAAGTATTTTCTTTTTGGGGATTTTCTTTCTTTTTTGGGTCACCCTGCCTCGGTGGGAGACGGCCAACTTGTTGAAAAAAAAAAAAAAAAAAAAATTTCAGCTGCTTTTTGGTCCAAACTGGCAGCCTCACCATGCCTTATCACACTATGTATGCCACTACGATTCTTAAATCTCTCAAACCAACCTTTGCTGGCCTTAAATTCACTCACATCACCACTAGTTGCTGGCATTTTTCTAATTAAATCGTCATGCAACTTCCTAGCCTTTTCACATATGATCGCTTGAGAGATGCTATCTCCTGCTATCTGTTTTTCGTTTATCCACACCAATAACAGTCTCTCAACATCTTCTATCACTTGCGATCTCAGTTTCAAAAACATAGTTGCACCTTTGGCAAGAACAGCTTCCTTGATTGCCGTTTTCTTGGCCACAATAGTAGCGATGGTTGATTGGGGTTTTGTGTACAACCTGGCCAGCTCGGAGACACGCACTCCACTTTCATACTTAGCAATGATCTCTTTCTTCATATCCATAGTAATTCTCACCCTCTTTGCTGTAGGGTTGGCACTAGAAGCTTTCTTGGGGCCCATGGTGACTTATTTTGCAGGTGCAATCACTAAAAAGGCTGTGATAATATGAAATGTTCCGATTGTATGCTTGGAAGCGACAGCGGTGGCTGGCTGGCTTGTAAACACTGGCCAGAAGTGGACGCGTCTCAGACGGAACGAATAGTGTTGGTCGAGTTTTTTAGCGCTAATCGAGGCAAAATTTTTGCGATAAAATGTATCGCTAGTCAGATTTATCGTTAATCGATGCCATCGCTGGTCGAGGGCCCACTGTACAAGCATGTATATACACACCCCTCGGGGTTTTCT